TCATTTCTCTCTGTATCTCTCTCTCATCTCTCTCTCTCATTTCTCTCTGTATCTCTCTCTCATCTCTCTCTCTCATTTCTCTCTGTATCTCTCCCTCATCTCTCTCTCATCTCTCTCTGTATCTCTCTCTCATCTCTATCTCTGTGTATTTCTCTCTCATCTCTTTCATCTTTTTCCTCCCTCATCTCTCCCTCATTTCTCTCTGTATCTCTCTCTCTTTTCTCTGTATCTCTCTCCCTCATCTCTCTCTGTCATTTCTCTCTGTATCTCTCTCATTTCTCTCTGTATCTCTCTTTCATCTCTCATCTCTGTATCTCTTCTTCTTTCTCTCTCTCTCTCTCATCTCTGTATCTTTTCTCTCTCTCTCTCATCTCTCTCTCTCTCTCATCTATCTCTGTGTATCTCTCCCTTTCTCTCTCTCACCTCTCTTTCATCTTTCTCTCCCTCATCTCTCTCTCATTCTCTCTGTATCTCTCTCATCTCTCTCTCTCATCTCTGTATCTCTTCTTTTCTCTCTTTCTCATCTCTCTCTATCTCTTTTCTCTTTTATCTCTCTCTGTGTATCTCTCCCTTTCTCTCTCTCTCATCTCTCTGTATTTCTCTCTCCCCTTTCTCTTTCTCTCCTCCCTCTCTGTGTATCTCTCCCTTTCTCTCTCTCCTCTCTCTCTGTATCTCTCTCTCTCTCACTCTTTCTTTCTGCCTCCCTCTCTCTCCCCCCCCCCTCTAATTTATATAGCCGCCCATCTCACAAATGACTCTGGGCGGCATGCCACAAAACTAAAACTAGTAGCTAAACCCATTGTCATTCACCAGATTTTAAAAAAAAAACATTTAATCTTAGTTATAAGATGAACAGCTGCTGGAAATGCCTCCCCCACCTCAACATCTGCTTAAGTCACCACGAAGGGTCTCCGCTCCCATCAGGCTCCCTGCGGACGTTCTCGGACTGCCAAACCCAACGAGCTCTGGATGATGGGTGCAGTAGGATACACTCCGACACACGATGGCAAGGCGTAACAGAATAACGGAAGGGACCTTGGAGGTCTACTAGTCCAACCCCCTGCTCAAGCAGGAGGAGACCCTATTATCCCCTTTCCTTGCCGTTGGTTTCTCGCCTGCGATTTATGCAGAAAAATAAATAAATAAACCCTGCATAATTTGGGGAAGAAGACTCTGTCAATCTATCTCTTTGTCTCTGTCTGTCTGTCTGTCTGTCTGTCTGTCCACCCCCTCTCTCTCTCTCTCTCTCTCCCAAAAGCAATGAGTTTTCCCCTAATTTTGGTGAATACCCCTTTGCGTTTTTGCACCTTCTTCCATTCCCCCCTCCCTAAATTCTTTGCTCCCCCCCCCTCCATACTACCTTCTTCTGGTTCCTCTTGTCCTTTCGCAGTTGTTGAAGCAATTTTTTTTTTAAAAAAACCCTCTTCTTTGCAGAAAAAGGAGAACCTTTTGCTCCCTCCCATTCACTCCCCCCTTTCCCTCCCCCCCCATCTTCCTTTCTAGGAAGCCCAGCTCTATAGGTTTAACCCTTTAGAAACACAGAAGGCAAAATGTTTTTTTTAAAAAAAATTTTTTAAAAAAACCACCATTTTAATTTTTATTTTTATTTTTTAAAATTTGAAAACCACCATTTAATTTTTGTGACTCGGAGGCACAGCTTTTATTATTGGCCAGATCAAACAATCCTTGTTTGGAGGAAACTGGAGGAGGGAACTGAATAAGGAGAGATTTAACCTGGAAATAAGGAGAAACTTTCTGACAGTGAGAACAATCGACCAATGGAACAGAAGCTGCCCTCGGAAGTTGTGGGAGCTTCATCAATGGAGGCTTTCAAGAAGAGACTGGACTGCCATTTGTCGGAAATGGTATAGGGTCTCCTTCTTGGGGGTCGGGGTTGGACTAGATGACCTACAAGGTCCCTTCCAACTCTGTTAATCTGTAATCCAACCATGTATACTATAATCCCGTTTCTCAACCTTGGCAACCCAGAATTCATGCTGGCTGGGGAACCAGATTCTGACCAGCAAAATCAGGGAGGAAAGCCGGATTTGCTTAACAACCGTGTGATTCACTTAACAAATGCGGTAATTTGCTTGCAAAAAGGTTGTAAAGTTGGGTGTGACTCATGTCATGCTTAAGAACAGGGATTATACACCCCCCCCCCAGTGGTGGGATTCACATTTTTTTTACTACCGGTTCTGTGGGCATGGCTTGATGGGCATGGCAGGGGAAGGATACTATAAAATCTCCAGTCAGAGGTGGTATTTGCTGGTTCTCCGAATGACTCAAAATTTCCGCTACCGGTTCTCCAGAACTGGTCAGAACCTGCTGAATACCACCTTTGCCCCCCCCCCTCCACCATTGTGGTCGTAAGTCAAGGACTACCTGTACTTATAGCTCAAAGTTTTCTAAATGGTGTAGGGCAGGGGTGTCCAACCTTTCACCTTCCCTGGGCCACATTAGAAGATGAAAATTTGGTTTGGGCCGCACATATAATAAATTATTATAAAATAATTATATTATAAAATTATATAATAAATTATAAATTATGTTTATTATTTATTAATTATTTATTAAAATTATTTATTGTTTATAAAAATTATTATTTATAAAAATTATTAATTATTTATTTTGCGGGGTGGGGGGCGGCGGTGAGGGCAGAAGCGGCGGCGGCGGCGATGGCGGGGGCAGAAGTGGCGGCAACGGGGGCAGAAGCAGCAGCGGCGGCGGCAGCGGGG